ATCCCTGTCCGAAAGGGGGAGATGCCTGATGTGGTGGTGGGGCAGCATATCGACCGAGACTGCAAATCCGACCCCGCCCAGCGCAAGCGCAAGGTAGGAGGCTGCAACCTCGCTTCCGCCTGGCCCTAGGGGCCTGTGCCTCCGGGGCTTGGAGGGGGGGTCTCCGGTTGGCACTCGCCGATGCTGGCTGGGCGCGTTGAGCCAAGTCTGCTGCTCTCAGCTGACTCCCCAGTGGGCATTGGGCTGAATCACATGAGCAGCAGGGTGCAGCACGGTCTGGATGGAAATGCTGGGGGCTGGAAATCAGGATGGGGAGGGGCGGGGGGGCAGGCAGTGTCCAGGCCTGGAATAGCTGTGGGGGGCTGTGGGTTGGGATTGGGGGGCACCAGGAGGGCTGGGTGCAGGAAGCCCAGGCCTGGCACAGCAGGGGCTGGGGTGCTGCTGCCGTGAGAGGAACTGAGGGAGGCGTCAAAATCTAATGGAAGCTAAAGTTAGAAAAATGAATCGTTTTGAAGTAGCAACTTTCCCCCTGGGGGGGGCGATTTGTCATGGGAACCACCGTCCCTTGGAGGCCGTGACAGGAGCCTGGACCCACCCCAATTCAGCCACAAGCTGCTGGGCTCTGTAGTGCCCCGTACGGCATAGGAGAGGACAGGTCCTCGCTGTGGGAGTGCCAGCGCGGCGCTCTGGCCTGTGCCACACAGGTCAGATGAGGGGGGCAAAGTGAGCTCTTCCGGCCTTACCCCCGTGAATCTACAAGCTGGCAAAGCCCCTTCGCGCTGCAGCACTTGGTCTCCGCCAGCCACCCCTGGCGCTAGAGCTGAATTCCCCAGAGAGCAGCGTGGCTGGGGGCTGGAGCTGGGACTCGGAGACCTGGGGTCTGACCCAGCCTTGCTGCTGGCGTTGGAGCTCCTGGAACGTACGTTGCCAGGGCTCCGGCCGCGTAGTGACCCCATAGCGGGGCCGGACGCTGCTGCTGGGCTGCTCCGTGCCGGTCTGGGACGGCCCTGTGTGCTGCGAGCTCGCAGCTGCTCACCGGGTACCTCGTCTCTGGTTAGATTTTCACCAATAAGTGTCTGAAGCCCGGCTGCAAGCAGAGGGAGATGATGAAGGTGATCTGTGACCAGTGCCACGGGAACTTCTGCCTCAAGCACCGGCACCCCCTGGATCATGACTGCAATGGGGCGGGGCACCCCCTCTCCAGAGCCGGGTAACGGAGGGGGGCGGGGGGGGGGAGAAGTGCTTTGCCAGGGCAGAGCCATGCCCACCACAGTGGTGATGACAGGAGAACTGCATAATCTGCGCTCACCCTGCCTCGTGTCCCAGCTCCCCCCCACGTCCCCCTTCCGCGCCGGCTGGGTCTGCTCCGGGCGCCCCGGCTCCACACACCCCACCCCACGCCGGCTGGGTCTGCTCTGGGCACCCCAGCTCCACACACCCCACCCCACGCCGGCTGGGTCTGCTCCGGGTGCCCCGGTTCCACACACACACCCCGCCCCGCGCCGGCTGGGTCTGCTATGGGTGCCCTGGTTCCACACACACACCCCGCCCCGCGCCGGCTGGGTCTGCATTCTGGTGCCAGGCGACCCCCTTGCAGGGCTGCAGCCGCAAGGTGCAGAGGAGTAAGTGCCCCCTCCCCTGACGCTGGTCTGCGGTGCAAGCCGCTAGCACGTCCGACGCTCCTGCTGTTCGTAGCGGGTCTGCCCGAGGGGCGCGCGGCACTGAGTGACTGCGCAGAGAGCAGAGGGTGAGGGCCCACGCGGGAGATGAGCACGCAGGACAGCAGGAAGGATGCAGGGCGCACGGCTGGGGCTGAGTACCCGAGGGAGGGGCGGGGGACATCCAGGGATGCAGAGACAGAGGGCTCTGAGCCCCCCCAGCAGGGGAAGCTGTTACTGACGGACGGTGTCTGTCGCAGACATGCTGCGGTCGCGAGAGCCCAGGCATCCTCCTCTGTGGCAGCCGGGACGTCGAGCAGAGGAGCTTCCGGGCCGGCAGCCAGCCCCCCTGCTCCAGCCCCAAGCAGGTACGATGATGCCGACCCCTCTTCTCGCCCCCAGGGCCTGGCTCGGGTGGTTAGACCCAGCAGCCCCTCCAGAGAGCCGGTGTGTCGAAATCTGCCCCGCCCCCCCGGGGGGCTGGCACATCCCCTTGGCCTGCTGAGAGGGGCACGGAGCCGGGGTGTGTGTGTCCCTGCCTGGGTATTGGCCCCCCGAGCTGCTCCGCGTGCTAGCACTAACCCTGCTCCTCCTCTTGCCCCAGAGGTGGCGTGATGGCGGCACGGCAGCCCAGCAGCACCTCGCCCCCAGCCGTTGCGCTGCAGAATGGACTGGTGAGTGGCCCGGCGCGAACCTCTCCCAGTGGGTGCCCTGGCACGGAGAACCGGGTGCCCTCGCTCCCCGGCTGTACAGCCTCATCACCCCGAGTGTGAGGTACCCACCAGAGCGGGGCAGAGAGCCAGGCACAGGAGCCCTGTTCTGGAGCCAGCTCCGTCCCCCACCTCCTAGATGGCAGGACCAGGCCCAGCGCTCCCCAGGACGCCTGGGCTGGCGCTCGGCGACACTATGACAGAGCCTGCACGTGAGAGCCAGGGCAGGCCTGGGCTCTGCTGGAGCCTCCTAGGGGACCAGGTCCGGCCATTGCCTCCCTCGCTCTGCTGTGTGAACGTGGAGCCGTGCAACAGCAGCAGCCCCTTGCCACAGGCCGGAGGGGCGCGAGCTGCTGCTTGGTGAGCCTGTTCCCTGCAGGGGAGGCTCTGAATCCCAGCGCCTTCCCTCTGACTGTGTCCGACTCCCAGCCTACAGCTGGGCCTAGGGCGGGAGGTGGGCCAGAGCCCCCCCCCATGGCTGGGGGTCTGGGTAGGACTGCCCCCCGCAGCGCGACCTCTGGGGCTTGGTCCCGCCCTCTCTCCAGGGGGTGGCTAAGCCGGGCAGTGCCGTGGGCACACCCCACTCTCGTTTCAGAGCGAAGAGGAGGCGCTGCAGCGAGCCCTGGAGATGTCCCTGGCAGAATCGGTGCCCGGCTCGGCACAGGCGCTCAGGTACGGTACGGGGCTGGCGCAGCACCTGTGGTGCAGCAGGGCGCGCTGGGTAGGGCATGTGACATGCTGACGTTCACCTGAGAACCGCACCCCACGAGCCTGCACAGGGCACCATTGTGGGGGCCTGTCCCGGAAGGGGACCGGCTGGGGAGGGGCTGAGGTGCATTAACTGGCCTGGGCTGTGATCCCTTCACATCTTGCCAACGAATAGGCAGGAATAAACTGTGCCAGGACCTGGGAAGGGCCAGGCTGCTGCAGGGAGTGGTGCAGTCCAGCAGGTGGCGCCCTTTTGAGCCCCGTTCTTCAGTCTGGTTCCAGGGGTTCTGTCTGTGGGGGGAGGGGGGTGTCTCTGGGACAGGCCTCGGCCTGGTTCTCCTGGCTCCGTCCCAGCTGGGGCGCCTGCAGCCTGGCTCCCGAAGTCCCCTGTGCTGTTTGCACGGGGATTGTCCCAAAGGCGCCCCCAGCCTCGCCGGGCTCACTAGCCCGCTGCTGGGAGCTGTCCCTGGGGCGGCTGGGCTGCGGGGTCTCCTGCCCCTGAACAAAGGCTGTCTCCAGCAGCGCGCAGGAGGAGGAGGACCTGGCCCTGGCGCGGGCGCTAGCCGCGAGCGAGGAGGAGTACCAGAGGCGGCAGCAGCAGCAGGTGAGTTGAGCTGAGCTGCTGGAGGCTCCGTGCTGAGGCCCGGCTCTCACCAGGTTCTTCCCCACTCCTCGGCACCGGGGGCTGGAGCTCTGCACCCCCGCTTCCAGGCTGACGTGAGCCGAGGCAGGACTGTCACCAGGGGCAGCCTGACCTCCCGCAGTGCGGAGACCCCACTGGCTAGGGGAGCTGAGCCCCTGCCAGCTCCAAGGGGAGGGGTCAACCCTGCTGGGGCGAGGCCTGGGATTACTGCAGCAACCCCAGGCCAGATTCACCTGTCTGCCCCATCCCTGCCCTGGAGGCCCCCTGAGTGCTGCGGGGGGGCGGGGCAGGGGGGCGCTTGCTCACTCCTGCTGTGTTCACGTTGCAGGCCCAGAGCCGGAGTTCGAGGCCATCAGACTGCAGCATGTTCTAGGCTGGGAGCACCACGATGCCTAGGGCCTGTCCACAGGGCCGGGTACCATCGCCCAGCTCTGCCAGGCCCTGCCCGAGCGCCACCTGCAGAGGGCAGGCGGGGGCTTCTCCTGCCTCTTCCGCAGCTAGAAACAACTGACCAAGCGCTGGCTGCTCCTGCTCCCTGGACAGTAGACGGTAGCTGAACCGCTTTGAGCTGCACGGGGCCGCCTCGCGCCTCGACCCGTTCTCACAGACCAGAGCCGGCTGCAGCCGTGTGGGAGGAGCGACCTGCAGCTGCCAGCCAGCCGGTCGTAGCCGGGGGCCTTGGGATGGATGGTGGGCGTCGTGCCTCGGTCCCTCACCCACCTGCCACAGTGCCCAGAGGGGGTGAAATGGGGGGGCACCTCTGGCCTGGAGGTGGAGTGTTACACCTGGGGTGTCTCGACCCCAATACCTGCGCTCTGACCCAGGCTGGGTCATGTCCAGCCCCCTGCCCCACACACTACAAAGGGACAAGGACAGCCCCCCAGCTCAGCGCTGCCCTGCCCCGCGCGGGGGGCCTGCTGGATGTTTTAACAAGACGGGCTGCTCTGCACACTTCTCTCTGCCTGGGCCGGAGCTGCCCTCACCTCTTCCCCCTCCCCTCGGTGCTAAAGCAGCAGGTGAGCTCCCTGGGTGCCCGGTGGGGTAGGGAGGGTTATAGCCTCAGGTAATGGCTGGGTAACGCTCACTTCCCCCAATGGGGACTCAGCTCTGTCCTCGTTAGCCACCCGTGGGCCCTGTGCTGGCCACGCTATGTGGCAGAGCCCCCTGCCATGCAAGGCCTGGCACCTGCCCCTGTGAGTGACTCCCCCCCCGTCCTCCAGGCAGGGCTCAGCTGGGGGGCCAGGCCAGCCTTTCTCAGCCCCTCTCCTTAACTCCTGGGGTGCTGGATGTGGGGCATGGGAACACAGCCCCTCCACGCAGTGATCACAGACCGCTCCACTGCCTCTGCTAAGAGCCCCCCCAAACCCAGCCCTTGCCCTAAGGCATCACCTGACCTCAAAGGGGAGCCCGGGTGGAGCGTCTCCCGTGGCGATAGGGACCAGGCCTCTGGAGTCTTCCCCAGAGCAGCCCCTTCTAGTCCTGCTGAATTCAGGGCCAGTGCCCTGCCACCAGGCGCCTGGGTTGGTGCGGGCGGCTCTCCTCAGCTCGGGCCTTGTGCCGGCATCTGCTGCCTGCTCAGTGCAGCCACTTGGACACGCTGGAAGCTGCTTCCCCTCCAGTTCTGCATGCACAGGACTCCGCGTGCGGCTGGGTCTTGCTGTAGTGGGTAACAGCTGCACCTTCTGCAGCTGGGCATCATCTCTTCCTGTGCCCTGAGCTTGTTCCTGGGCCGGCTGTGGCACTCAGGAGTGGGGGGTGGGGGTGGCGAAAGGTAGCTCTGCAGGGCTGGGGCTGTCTGGCTATTACGTGCTGCCTGGAGGGAAATAAAGTCCTACCTAAAAGCAGAGTGTCCTTGGTCTCTTTCCTGGGGGAGGGACCCTGCCCTGGGCTGCGCTCACCGTCCAAGAGCCTGACTCCTCTGGCCTGGCACAGGCCCCACAAGCAGTGGCAGGGCCCCGGGGCCAAGAGCGCTCAGCCGGAGCCATGTGGCCTGAGCCCCCAGCTCTCTGCAGGCTGCTAGAGCGGCCCTGGGCCCAGCTCTGGTCTCTGTCCCCCTCCTGTTGCCCCAGCTCTGGGCCGGCTCCCAGCCTGACACCAGCAGGGCCCCAGGTGGCTGCGGGCAAGGCCCCATTGGAGCCAGGGAAGGGGCTGGGCTGGGCCCAGATCAGCCCTCCCCTGCTGGTGCGTGCACGGTGCTGCTCCTGGCCTAGCCCCCTGGCCTGTGGGTGCCCCCCTAGTCCCGCACTGGAGTCGCTGTGTCTCCTTGGGCCTCGCCTGCGTTCAGTTCAAGCGAAGCTGCGCCTGGTCTGTGCAGCCTCCAGCGGCTGGGGCTCAGGAAATGTCCCAGGGAGAGTTTCCTGCCCGGCTGCGGCCAGAAGGGGGGAGGGAGGAGGGGACACAGGCAGCCCCGCTGAGCAGCTTGTTCCCATTAGGACTGCAGGGGCAAACGCAGGCCTTCCCCCCGGGTGGGGCGGCCCTTGCTGTGTGCAGGGCTGGGGGCCTCTCCAGGAGCAGGTCACGGACCTAGGGCAGGGCCTCTGCCCACTTTCTCCTGGCAGTCAGTGCCAGCGGATCTCCTCCCTGGGCTGGGGCAAAGAGCGCTGGCTCCGCACTGCAGCCTTGTTCCCCTGCCTGCGTTGCACAGGTCAGGGCCTTGCCCCACACGCTCCAGCCCCGGCGGAAGAGTCCCTGCCCGGGTGAAAGCGGTGCCAGGGCTCTGGACTGCCAGGCCCCGCACAGCGGGCAGGGAGCGCTGAGCTGATCAGGGCCCCTGTGCCCAGCTGGCCCCAGAGGCCTTGTGTAGCTGCAGCTGACAGAGCCTGAATCAGGTCAGAGGATGAGGCTGTGGGGATGGGCAGCCACAGGAGGTCCCCGGGTGGGCAGCCGACCCCTCCAGGCCGGGCCTGTTCCAATCACCCACAGGGTGGCTGCTCCTGACCCCATTGGCAAGCGATACG